TCCTCACTGTTCATAACCTTGTCCCCATTTCGCGGAATTCCCACTAGCCGCAAATCCCCCAGTCACACGCCCCATTCTGACTGTAAACGCATGATCAAGCCCGAAGGTATGCCACCCACAAGTTTGGAAATAAACATTATCATTATGTCCAGAGACTGCACATTCTGCAGCGTGCACGTTGTATTTCGAAGTTTTAGGACGCTTGCCGAAGAATGGTACGGCGGCAGTTGGTTTATTCAACAGGGTTTGTGCTTTGCCTTTATCTTCAACATCGAAGAGAGTGTCGTCTTCCTGCATCCTGAATTCTTGTTTCTAACACGCAGTACATATAAATATTGAGCGTGTATGGTGTGAAAACAAGAGCAACTTGTTATCCTGCTTGCCTCAGAGTACGAACCTTAAAAGCAGCCAGTTATACTAAGCGTGGAGGTTTGAAGATTGATTTCGAGCTGTCTAAGAATGTCGGCGCCGGATGACATGCAGATGCTGCTGCTAAAACCGATACAGGATGATCAACCATCAGTCCTAATTGACGGGGGAGTTATTTATAGGGTCAAGAAATGGAAAAAGAGGAATGAGGGGGTGTCAGCAGTAGGCCGCTTCTGGTTGGCTACCCTGCTGTATGCAGCAAACGAGGTTATCCGGCTGATGTCACCACGTGACCACCGATGGTATATGAGATTATTTGTAAACATTCATGGTTAGACGTGGATCAGGACACTGCCAGGGCACCAACACCTAGACAGAAGGATGATTAGGGTACTCAGTCAAAGTCTTTAGCTCGAAAACGCGACCGCAAGGTAGTGGTGTTCGGGGGGAAGTGGAAGTATATTACCATTTTTACAAAACAAGTTCCCCCATTTCCTACCCCGACGCTGGAGGGCCAAGAGAGCGTGTTGTTCACAACTCTGACCACCGGTATGGGAGAATATTCGAGCGTTGCGTGCACACCCACAGCCGTTATCATCAGCAGCAACGTCAGCTTTGAAAACCACGTGCTTGTCTTACAACGTCCCAGTTGCCACAACTTTGTTCACTAATGAATTGGAGGAGGTGGGTGGATGGCGGTGCGTTGGAAGTGTCAGTTGATGTAATTGATGCGTAAATATGGGGCTGTGAAGGGACTTTTAATCGCAGAAATTGCGATGAGGATTATCTAGTGAAGGCAATAGCTTGGATACATGAGCATCATTGGGAGCGCGACTGGGCCATGTTTGATAATATCCCTAAACATTGATGTGCCTCTTCTCGGGGTCTGAATCCGGGGGGACCGTGATGCCCAGAACAACTGAGTTTTCTGGCACTAGCTTTTATACTCCGCTACGAAATCATTGTCTGACTTTTTTGGCACGTTTCCACCCGTCGTTGTGTAAAACGAGCTCTTCCAGGAAGTCGACTGACTTGCTTACGGAGCACATGAACATGTCAATACAACCTATACAGTGTGATTCGTTCATCTATATTGGACACGTTTCCTCCGAAAGCGATCCGATGTGCTTCAGCCTTACTGATTAGGTGTTATCACCAGACTCGGGCAACACTCCGATGACAAGATGGACAGATGGGCTGGCTTCACGCGTAAGCCACAGGTGATGCGGGTTCACGAAACCTGGTCTTCCCAGTTCGGATGGAAAGATCTTTCGCGAGTCCAACTGATTGATACAGACGCTCAGATAAACACACTTGCTTACTACCTTAATCGGCTCATTCACAAGCAAGAGGTTCGGGTTAACGCCTATGAAGTCTTGCAGCAGCACAAGGGCTCTTGATCTTTCCTTAGTTTCTTCAGTATTTGGCGTTTGACGGAATTGTCTACGCCGTAGCACTTGCCGCTTGCTGGTACGGGTTTCGTGACATCAGTTGAGACTAGCTATCTTGACGATATCCAAGTCATTTGATTTTATCGGAGGAATCAAACAGGCAGCTAGCACAGTTTCTTTCACATTTTGCCGTGCTTCATCCATGTGCTTGCTACCAGTAAAGTGCTGATTTACCGTGGAGAGTTGAGCTCGCTTGGATCGATACTGTTGGACTATGGGGGTTCTTCGAAGTTGTGGGATTGTCATACTCCTTGCTGACTTGTGGGAGCCTGAAGGGAAACGAGCTATCAGACGTGTATGCAATTTTTCGTGATCGAAATTAAGTTCTGTACACAGAAGGAACGACAGGCTTGATTTGTGGCTATCCACCGGCGTCTGATGGCCATTTGGTCCAGCTGCGTCCACTTTTGGTATGCAGTTGGTGACCAGCGGGTCACGCGTTGCGAACGTTTAGGCTAAAAAAGTTGGGCAACAAACAGTTCATGATCACCACACAACTGAAAGAGTCACTTTCGATTGTGCATGCGGAGAACGCTGACTTCGAATCGGCCGCTCAAATGTGATTTCAAGCAGCTCAGGTGACCTAATTGGATATTCCTATCGCCCACTGCCAGCGCTTCTTACACAAAGGGTAAGCCCGGATAGCTCCCGCGAGAAAGTAGCCTTCTCAGTGTCAAAAGGGCAGTCCGTTGAAGCAAGATGGTTCAGTGGTTTGAGCGCGAACTCACTAAACCGAAGGTCCGTGGTACGAACCCGACTTCTGTCTCGGCTTAGGCAACCTGGCAGTATCCCAGCCCTCGTACTTCATTCGGGTGGCATAGCAGCTAGGCCCCGAAAGGAAGTCACAGCTCAAAGATTATTATTATTTTTATTTCGTGAGTGAATAAGCCGACACTACAAGCAGGCACCGTTTTCTATGTCGAGAGGCGTGACCGGACGGCGAGAGCGTTTGTTCGCTAGAATCAAATGCAGCAAAAAAGAAGGACAAGAGTGTCCGAGTGGTTAGAGCACGAATTTATTGGCCCGAAGGCCCGTGGTTCAAACCCGACCTCCGTCTGTCGACTTCTTCGGTCCAGGCTTGGGCGACCCGGCATTAACCCGGTCCTCGTGTTCCTTCGGGTGGCATTTCCGCTAAGCACTGGAAGGGTACTACAGCAAAACGCTTTTCTTAAACTGTGTTCAGCTCTAGGCTCACGCCATATATTTCACGAGTCATCACTTTTAGATCATTGGAAAGCCGGAGGTAGAAATGTGTAGGAGCTGGGTCCATCCCCAGCCTTCTGAGAGGCATAACCACGCTCGGGTTATGTGTGCGCATTTCGGAGACAGCATACATCCTCCAGCGAACAGTCCCTGCTTGCCAATATGACGTAGAGCACGGAAGTTAAAAGTCTCTATGAAGAAAGTATCTTATTTTCTATAGAGGAGAATGTCGGTGGCTCAGGTAGCGTAGATGGTCGTCGGCTTGTCCGCTTGTGCGCAGCGCTACGCACAACTACGCACTGATGACGTCACCTCGATTGGTGATGAAACGTTTGCAGCCAAATTACCCAACTCAAAGTATCTCGTGGATTTGGTAGTGTTAATTATTTTATTATTAGTAGACAGTGAGGCGCATGGTGCCCATCGATCAGTCAAATGACCCGGCAACGTTTGTTTGTGTGGCGGGAAGGATTTGGGAGGAGCGTCCATCGTTAAAAAAAACTGTGCAGGCACTTGGTACTTCCAGGTTGCCGTTGTGACCATGTGCGGTAGTGCCTCTGTATCGTTCCCTTGTCCTGCTGCTTCACCCACTATGGTATAGCAGTAGGTACGGCAGCTCTGTACAGTTCTTTATGAAGACAAAGGAAAATTACTACAACTGTATTTATAGGTAGTCACAGAGTGTTCCACAAGGTCGTGCAATAATTTCCGTGAAGCGTCGAGTCAAGGATTCTCGACTCGTATTGGCAGGCATTCTGACCAATAAGGGCATGCCTTCGTTTGGTCCGTGTGACACGTGACATCCGTCCAGATGAGGCGAATGTGGGTTATTAGGGACGGCTGGCCTCCGAGCAGCTGCCTGGGTTCGGTTTGAGTTGAGGTTTGGTTGAGGTGCCTCTCTTTGAGCCTTTGACTCAAAAGTCTGCCCACGAGGCAGCGAGCAGCAGGATTTTTTGGACCCTGATAGGAGCCAATGACTAAATAGTCTTCCCTGTTCGGCTTCAGGGGGCTGGTATAACCATGCAGTGTAGGGAGTAAGCCGTTTCTATCTCACTCCTGATACGGCTGCGCGCAGCAGATGCCTTTTGGGCGACACCAGATTCTTTAGTTTTAAAAGTATTTCGACTGTGTTGGACAATGTGCCGGCAGTCACGGTCAACCATTGGGCGAGAATATCACTCTTACCACAACTTTTCGATTTTTGCTTTTTGTGACCTGTGAGGAGTTCATGAAAGCCTCCGTAGGATTTTGATAACAAGTGTAACTTTACTCTGGTTTATGTGCGCTGCACAGGGGTTTTTGGTGTTTTTTCCATTTGCACTCTGTCTTTGCGTAAGGTGTCACGTTCTTTAAATTTAATTCCCGGTGCCTCACACATTTCCTACATGCATGTGATGTCAGTGTTGTTAACACAAATCAGTGATACCTAAGGCGCCACGCGACGACGATGTATAACTATACATTCGAAAATGAGGTATTCCTTGAAAGGGTGCAGTTTGTAGGCGAAGAAACAACGATGAATTCTTGGTGAGTTTGTGGTATTAGCATCAGCCGTAAACTAGAACTACTCATCTGCCGTTTTTAAGGAAGCTTAAACCTGGGAATTTGGAGTGGCCAAGGCACACTATGCCGTCAAGGTGGCAGTTGTCGTTCGGCCTCTTTTTCAGCTGTAGCACCCTTTCGCTGCCTAGCTGCCGTGTCACCAGAAAGAAGCGCGAGTGCTGGGGTACTGCCGGGCTGCCCAAGACATGAGAATTCGAGAGACAGAGGTCGGGTTCGAACCACGGATCTTCCGGTCACTCGGCCGTCTCGTCCTTTTTTTTCAGCCTCCATTTCGCTTGAATGTATTTCAACCTGAGATATCATTGAGCTGTAATACAGATGATGATATTCACAATAAACCAGGGACTTAACCAGTTCGTTCTTTCCTCTTGATTCCAGTTCTCAAGTTTCTTATAACCATTGATCTGAATAACGATGCCTCGTCTTTCAATTGGTCACGTTTGCCTTCTGGTTTTGGTTTTCCAAAACCTACTGTATACCTTGTGCATGCGGTATGGTCGCTCTCGCAATGCACCGATGTTTATTATTTCCTCTATGATGGTAACTAGCGAGGCTGTTAAATTATTGACGTGTCTCGTCGTCTTGCATTCCACGGGGACGCTGAAGCACTCCTATGCCCAATTTCTTTGTAATATATGGGACTCGATAAAATCCTGCCTGCCGGCCTTGATTTACCTCGTCCAGAACCGACTGCTTGTAGCTGCGCTTGGTAACTTAGATGCTGCAACGTTCCAGGTAAAATCCGATATGTGAGTGCGTATTTGTCTTCAGGTTGCCTACCAGCTGAAGTTGCTCACCACTGCTTTGTTCAGTGTACTTATTCTCCGAAAACCTATTAGTCTCATCCAGTGGTTTTCACTACTCCTACTGTTTTTTGGAGTCGCAATAGTAGAACCACCTTCGGGGTCGAAAGAAAACCCTATGAGCGTGTCACAAAATCCATCATTAGGCTTGTTCTACGTCGTGTGCGCGTCTTTGCTCTCAGGATTTGCCTGCGTCTATCTTGAATTGGTAAGTTCCTTTTTTTTGTTTTCACCAACCGTATCTTTAAAATGTGACCAACTCAGGGACCCGTGGTAACCCTTGATGCTCTCAGTGTTACCGATAGACGATATCCCTTTTTTAACCCTGTAGGATGCGTAGAAAACTGCCTTGCAAGCAGTTCTGTGTGTGTATTTTTACGCCTCATGGCAGTCGAGTCAGTGGTTGAAATATTTGTCTTGCTCACTTAGATTGAACGATATGTGAGCGTCTTTGCTGCTATGGTTAATCATGATACATTAGAAGCAATTCAGGACGCTACCTTGGTCAAGAGTTTTGGGGCAAACATCCGTAATAAAACGCCATCGTTTCACGGTAATTGACGGAAGCTGTTTGAATCGTTTGGTATGAACATCCTTCGTGAAATTCAGTCTGAAATATAGGCACTCGTAGACCTTCAGTGTTTCTGTGTCCGTTTGCAGCTAGGATCCAGCCATTCTCCTGATCATTTATTCCTCTACTGCATTGGTAGAAGCTTGAATTCCATCAAATTGTTACCCTTTTGGTCTACATTGATCCCCTTCAAGCAGCGCGCACCCTCCGGATCGGAAGTCACACTTCTGAGAATCTCATTCTCTTGAGGTTCTGTAGGTGAATTCTCTTCAATGCCGTAATGGGTGGGACGAAAAGGAACTATTAAATGGGGCTTGAATGTTTTGAAAAAAATGAAACGCCATGTTGACTACACTGGAATGGAAAATGGTTTTGTTAGCGGCAGTCAGAGATACTTGCGTCGGTAAGGGGATATTCAATGAATTGCTATTCGAAAACCACGAGCTGTAATCAGCCTAAGCTGTTTCCTAATCGAATGTTACTTCTGGTGTTAACTTATTTACTTCCCATTCTAAGTTACTTCTGATCTTTAAAAGTCCTGAGTTCAGTTACTCGCATGCATGCTTCTTGTTTTCGCTATTGGTACTCATGGAGTTTTTAGTGATACCAAGGTACCGGCGGTAGAGTCGCTTGTATGTTTTGCTTTCGCGCTATCGCCGAAACTACTTCCGTCATCAACAACAAGCGTTAGCAACAGTCATCAGCAGTCTTTTGTCCCTTGAAACCGTAGCATTCGTTCGGTTGTGGTCAAAAGTCTGGGCAATAGTGAGTTAGTTTGCGGAAGCCGATCGATGGTCTTGACATACAAATGAAGAAAATATATCTGTTACGGTCGATCACGCAGCGAGCAAATAATATGATATGCGGATTGTGGCAGTATTCTATCCCCAGCTATGTTGCTTGATCCAGACTCCTAGCACAGCGGCTAGTAAGAAGACGAAAAACCTCTGACACAAACTTTAATGATCCAACAACACGTGATCAACAGGCGATGATGGGAAAAATGACAATGCATATATATATATATATATATATATATTCATAGTTTGACCTTGAAGATTCCGGAAGTTCGCTAGCACATAAAAATACAGGGTTTTTTGGGCATATTGCTATCCCTAAAAATATCCTTCC